TTGGCGACGTCCAGGATGAAGATGTCAGCCACCATTGCTGCAGTGTAAGGATGAGGTAATGTAGAGAAATGGTTGTACTTGGTGAGACGGTCAACCACTACCATGATAACCTCCTTTCCTGCAGAATGAGGAAGACCCGTGATGAAGTCCATGGAAAGGTCTTCCCACACTTGATCTGGAATCTTGAGAGGTTGTAGAAGGCCAGTGGGAAACTGTGACGAGTATTTCTGTTGTTGGCTGGTTTGGCATTCGGATACATATTGTAATACATCATTACGCATTCCTACCCAATGATAGTGGTTGTTGAGCCTCTTTAGGGTCCATAGCACCCCTGAGTGCCCTCCCAAGGGGAGTCATGAAACAACCTTAGCAGTTCAACTTTGTGGGCCGAATTCTGGGCAACAACAAACCGACCCCTAAAGAAAAGATCAGGCCCCACAACTTGGTAACCAACAACTTGTGAAGGGTCTCGCCTCTACTTATCTCTAATAACCTACAATTGCGGATCAGACCTGGCTTCTTGCCGTATAGCTTTAAACAAAGGGAAGCTGGGCTGAGAGCAGGTCAGATGGGCTAACTCTTCTACTCGTGACAAGGCATCGGCTACTCTGTTTGCGGGCCCCAGCTTATATTCTATGAGGTAGTCAAAGCCCATAAGTTTACTAAGCCATTTTTGCTACTTCGGGGTGTGCACCCTTTGCTCTGCTATGTACTTCAAACTTCGTTGGTTTGTCCTAATAACAAATTGGCGTGCCAATAGGTATGCACACCACTTCTGCACTGCCATTACCACAACCATCATTTCTTTGACATAAGTGGACTGACTTTGGTGAGCTGTTGAGAGAGCCTTGTTGAAATAAGCAATGGGCTGGCCTTTTTGCATCAAGACGGCCCCTACTCCTACACCCGACACATCACATTCTATTTCAAAGGGCTAAGAGAAGTCTGGAAGAGTGAGGACTGGAGGGCAGGAAACTGTTGTTTTCAAGTCTTCAAAAGCCCGATGGGCTTTATTAGTCCAATTGAAGGAATACTTCTTTAATAGGCGCGTTAGAGGGGTGGAGGGGGCGTTTGTGAGGGCCTGAAACGGCCTGAAGATGTGTTTCCCAATTCCTGCTGTACACCAGAATATCATCGAAAAACACTAGAATAAATCGCCTTAGAAATGGCCTGAAGATGTCATTCATGAGGGTCTGAAAGGTGGAGGGGGCGTTTTTGAGTCCAAAAGGCATAACCAAAAACTCACAATGGCCATCATGGGTCCTAAAGTCCGTCTTGTGGATGTTAGCCTGGTGGACCCGAATCTGATGATACCCAGACCGCAGGTCTAATTTGGAGAACACTCGTGCCTCTCCTAACTCATCCAGTAGTTCATCAATGAGGGGTATAGGAAACTTATCCTTCACACTAATCTGATTCAAGGCCCGGTAATCTACGCAAAAGCGCCAACTACCATCCTTCTTCTTTACTAAGAGTACAGGAGATGAAAAAGGGCTGGTGCTGGTCTATATATGCCCTTTTTCCAATAGTTCTCTCACTGCCTTCTCAATTTCCAGCTTCTGAAAGTAAGGGTATCTATATGGCCTCACATTGGCCGGATTAGAATCGGGTAAGAGAGGTATCTGATGATCACAAGCCCGGGGTGGACGTAATTGGTTCGGCTCCTTGAATACATCGCCAAACTAATCGAGTATCGATCGTAAGGCCTTGTATTGGGCTTTTGTGGGGTGAACACAGCCCTGGTTGTCCAAAATTGGGATTGTGGGCCGAATGCCTAAGTGCATAAATATGGGTTGGCCAGCATCCTTGGAGGCCCGTATCATGGAGGCTAAAGTGTCACTTTGTGGACTAGGGGGCCGCACCCCTTGTAAATGACAAGACTGGCCATCTTGGTGAAAATCCATTGTCATTTTGGCCCAATCACATAGAGCAGGGCCCAGGCCATGCAACCAATGAACCTCCAAAATAATATCAGCCCCCAAGAAATCCAATGGGTGGAGATCCACCACAAAATTATGGCTCTGTATGAGGATTTTTTCCTTCTTACATACACCATTACACGACATCTGACTCCCATTAGCCACATGGATTGAAAAAAGAGGAGTGGGTTGTGTGGTCATACCTAGCTGCTTAGCCAAACGACAAGTGATGAAATTCAGGGTAGAGCCACTGTCAATCAAAATCATCACGATCCGGCCCACCAATCTTCCCTCTACGCACATGGACTGAAGAGAGTTGAGGCCCATGAGGGCATGTAAGGAGATCTCGGCCCCGTCAGGTTCTGGTCCATCTGGAATCAGTTCACAGTCATTTAAGTGCTCTGGGTCTGTCTCTTCCGGCTCTTCCTCTTGTTTGTAGGAGAAACACCCGCTGGACCCGGCATTTATGGCCTGGTCCAAACTTATCATCACAGTTATAACAAAGGCCTTTCTCGCGTCGTGCTTGCATCTCAGCCCATGAGAGACGTTTGAAGGGTATAGTGGGCTGGGGCAATATGGGCTTCTGATGATCCCTAACCGGTTTCATGGGCTGCTGATCGACCCGTGGAGGAGTCCTCAATTTCGGGTAGGTCGGTTTGCTAGCTCTACGAAGGTTGTTGATTCTTTCTTCTTGCAGGCGAGCCAATCCCACCGCAACCATGACAGTCGCCGGATAGAGAGCCCTCACCTCCAGGCAGATATCCTCTCAGAGACCTCCCACAAAACATCCTCCTAAGGCTTTCTCCGACCAGTCGTGTACCCTGGTCACCATCCGCTCGAACCTGAGCTGGTACTTTGCTACCGTTCCAGTCTGCTTCAACCGAGTGATCAGCTCGTCGTAGTCCACGAACGTCGTCGGCCCAAAGCGAATGCACAAAGCTTCGGTGAACTCCGCCCAAGTTACCTGGGGATGATTCCGGCGATGCCACTGGAGCCATAGAATCGCGTCTCCTTCTAGATGAATGGAGGCGATGGAGACACGTTGGTGTGCGGGAGTTTCGTGGTATTTGAAATATCTTTCTGCTCGGAAGATCCAAGGAATGGTATCTCCACCGGAATAGTTGGGAAAGTTGATCTTAGTGACTTTTCTGGTGGGGTAATCCCCTGTTCTTTGACTACCGGAAGCAGAGGCTTCCGCTCCTACTAGGTGACCGGTCTCGTTGAACTGTTGTTGAGAGACGAAGCTGGAGACGACCACTTTGAGTTCCCTGAGTTCGTTCAACACCTGGTGAAATCCAACCTCAAGCTGGTCGACCCTTTCATCCACGGTAGTGGAACGTGTCTGTGGCATCGTGAAGCCTGGGATTTGGATAGCTTGGCTCTGATACCAATTTGATGAGTTACCGCTCACCTCGGAAGCCCCTTCATGGGTGGCTTAACCTCCTGAAACAGAAGATGGGAGGGAAAGGGGAAAGGTAGGAAGAAAATGACTCAGAGAGAGAGATGAAAGGGATATTCATTCACCGCTCACCTCGGAAGCCCCTTCAAGGGTGGCTTAACCTCTTGAAACAGAAGATGGGAGGGAAAGGGGAAAGGTAGGAAGAAAATGACTCAGAGAGAGAGATGAAAGGGATATTCATTCACGCCACTTATTACATGGTCACGGCCTTATATAGCTGGCCTACATGTATGCAATCATGGAGAGAATATCTTCTGGTGGCAGTGTAACTAACTCTGGGAGGCTCTGCTGCGTGTCACGCTAGCCTCTGTCTTCTAGTGAAATGCTGCTCGGTGGTGGCCTGCTCCACTCCTATAGTTGGGTTCGGAGGGAGTGTTTGGGTCCCAACAGAGAGAGAGAGTATAAATAATTGTAATCTGATCTAATTGGCATGAGAAGTAAAACCCTACTACTCTCCTCACTTCTTCTCCTTCCCGTCCCCTTCTCTTTTTCTCCCTACTCCTGCCCTGTTTCAGGAGGGTGAACTCCCTCGAACCAGCTCAGAGTTTCAGATTTTAGAAGCGAATCTATCACAGCACAAGGTAGGTGCCTGTCTGAAGTGGGAAGCAACTTGTTAACAAAATCAAAAGAAAATATATAAATCTATGCAAATCTATATTCTAAAAGAAATAAAATTTTTGAAAAAGACTATTAGCTCAATTGGTTAGAGTATCATGTTAATAACATTTATGTGAAGGTTGCACCTTGTACATTCAAGTCTTACATAAGCTAAACTGTTAAAACTCTAAAGCTCATAGATATAACCTGTATTATAGTAAATTACCTATTTAACATCAAGTTCTAGTTAATTTATCAAAACATGACAACATGCTAGGTGAGGTTCAACTGGGTTTAGGTTAGTTTTTTTTTTTTTTTTTTGGTAAAATGGGTTTAGGTTAGTTACACCCTACAAAATGAGCCTCCCTGTGAGGCATGCCTTTTACAACATTGTAAACCTTAATGCTCAAGGCACAATAAGAAAACTTGGCTCTCACCTTGTAAAAATTGTGATACCCCATATTATAAATATTGCTAAACTTATAGCTCCTTCAAGAGTTGCTTATGAGTGGAATCATTTTATCCAAGTTTTGCATGGCATTTGATTCATTTCTGGTTGCCAAAGAAATTGGAAATGGGTTCTTTTCCTTGAATTCCAGATTTGAGAAATGAGTCATTCCAATATTTTATTACAAATCAGGAATGTCTATTTCTTTTATGGTTAACTTGTGCATAGAAATGTATAGGTTAATCACAAGAGAAGAATGTCTCTTCATTTCGTGTGGCTACTGAACTGGCTATGAATAATTTCAGAAAGTAGGAAAATTGGATTTTCTCAAGACTGGTCACAGTATTGGATCATGAAAAACCTGCATAGATATGGTTGCTTTTTGAGTTTTGATAATGGAGGTTCTTATCTAAAACAAAGCATTGATAACCAATATATTTTGTATTCTTTCAAAAATCCAAATTCATGGTTGCCTGCCAAGGAAAGTAGCTGGACCTGGGAATAAGTTGCTTTTTACAAGTCTAGCTTTCCTTCAAACCTTTAGTGTACTGATCTTTTCTTTGTTATCATGATACAGTGAGGCTAGAAAGTCCTCAAACAGGCCTCCTGCTCGCAAAGTGCTGGACAATCTGATTTATAATTACAGTCCCACTTATTGTGGGAAGGCTGGGTAAGTTTGGAATGTCATTGAGATAATATGTGCCTTTGGGTGTTTTATGCATAGTCTGAACATTTTTTTTCCTGGCTGCAGGCGGGGATACGACGAGGTTTACATTTTCTCTTGATCTTCAAGCCTAAATTCTGTTGTCCAATTATATATCTTGTTAAATGCATGTAACTAGTATCCAGGAATGGCATTTGCTATTTGAATGTAAAATCCATTATGAAATGTTAACAAAATTGCACCGGTCACCTTGTGATTCTGAAACCCTCGTCAGCCCCAAGAAATTGCTTAAATTTGGATCAACTTCCAACAATAAAAATCTGAGGGGCCTTATTTCCAATCTTGCCTGGTTGACACTGGATTTAGTAGGCACACACCCTTGTGAGGCTGGGAATGAGCTGTCTCAGAAATTTGCTTTGAATCATTTAAAGATTAGGCTGGGAGTATTTATGGGATGTGCTTAGTCTCCTCATTGAGTGTGCCTAACGAAGTTTCTATGTGTTACACCCATGGTTCAAAGTATTGGAAACGCCAAGTGTATCGAAAAGGTAATTTTAAGAGACGTATCAGGATATGTCTTGGATACGCATGCATATCGGAGAAAAACTAAGACACGTGTAGATACATTTAAAAACATTATAAATAATTTAATAAATCCTAAAAATATATTAACACTAAATATAAGACCTCAATGAGATGTATATATATTAAACTAATATATTTTAATGGTTTTTAAAGAAGTATATTGTAGCTAATTATAATTTCATTAAAAATCTTATACTTAATTATAAATTATAAATTATAATTTTTAAGTTTTAGTGTTTGATGGGATGAGAAAAACCTAACTCTCTTATTCAACCATAAAACATGCATTGGCACAATTATATGAAAATATAATTAATAATTATTTATTATTTAAATAATTATTATTTATTATTCACTTCCAAAAATTATAAAAAATAAATAAGCATTATATAATATATTCAACAAATAGTTATTAAAGAAGAAATTTCAATTGCTTTGTGGATATGATAGATCATTCATAGAATTATAATATATATTCAATCATTGTGATCAAATAATACAATCTAATTATTTATTTTTTAATTTTAAAAATATAAAAATAAAAAAGTGAATTATTAAAGAAGAAATTTCAATTAGTTTATGGATATGATAGATCATCCATAGAATTATAATATATTCAATTGTTGTTATCGAATGATAAAATATATTTAATTATTATTTATTTTTTTAATTCTAAAAATATAAAAAATAAAAAAATATTAAAGAAAAATTTTCAATTGCTCTATAGATATGTTCATATGATAGATAAATCTATAGATCTAAAACATATTTAGTCTTTATAGGCAGAGAAAAATTACATTTTCAAATTTTTTGTTAGTTTATATTTTCCTCAAATATCTTCATGAAATTTTCATAAATTTATTAATAACACAAAAAATTGTGATTTTGAATGTAAGAAATGTAGACCAACATAAATTTAAACATTCAAGAAAAAAAGAAATTACAAGATATTATAAAAAATTGAAATATTTTACTTATTTTTGCCATATTTTTTCAAAATTCGAAAAATCTTTAAAAAAAATTAACAATTCACACTTGTTTCTTACAAACTTTTGCAAATCTAGCACTCTATGAATAAATTTTGGAGTTTTAGAGTCATTTAGGGGTAAAAGAAGGCTAATTTCGGGGAAAAGAAGATGCTTTCCCCCTTTAATTTTTTTTTTTTTAGTTTTTGGCCATATTTTTTTCGTCAATATGCTACCTATACACCCCCGATACGGGTCTGGTATGCATGAAAAAAAGACGAAATGTCCGATTTCAATGTGTATCCCGCATCTATTTTTTAAATATACAATATGATACGCCTTGTATTGGGTATATTGTATCGAAATTTTAAACCTTGGTTGCACCGTGGTCCAGAGGGCCAAGGAAGTTCCTATGACTCAAGTTTGGAAAGGGTACAAATACAAATATGGCTGAGTTTAGAAAGAGTATAAATGCAAATATGTACTATGCAAATACATTCAAAATAATACAAAATATAAGGTTTTGCACTCTACACATTTGCATTTGTACTCCTTCCAAACTGAGCCTATGTGGAGTACAAATACAAATGTATAGGTTTCCATATGATTGCATCTCTACTGAATGAGACTATGAGAGTTGAATCAGATGCATTTGCCATTGGTGTTGTCACGAAGGGAGGCATGATATATTGATGGGATGCTAATTTAAAGGATCCATCATCTATCATGATTTAATTTGTAAAATAATTTTTTTTATTATAAACCACATATAGTAAAAGGTTGAAGAAGTATATTACATAACCAGGTGCATTATATGCTAAGATAGTAGTAGGCAAGGTTCACAATAGACCTGGCAATTGGGTTGGGTGGGTCGTGTTTGGGTTAGGTCAAGACACTTTGGGTTGATTTCAGATCAGGTTGAATTTCTAGTTGGATTGTTGAATGTAAGACCATAACCTAAATGGTCGGGTTAGGGTTGATCCATGGATCAATTCGGGTCATCCTAAAAAAAATAACTGGAATTTAAAAAAATATAAAGGAAAAATACATGAAAAATGTCAAAATTAAAGTTGCGTTTGGAATCAGTGTAAAACATCATCGGTGTAAAAGTACACCAATGACGTTTTACACTGAATTGTCATTAAGTGATCGTTGTATTTTTGAAAAATGTGATGCAATTGGTTTAAAGTTTTACATTGATTTTATTGTAGTATTATCGATGTAAAACTTTACATATGATGGGTTATACATTGGTTCACGATGTAAAACTCTACTCCTAAATGCATGCAAAACTGAACCAAAGTGGAGTTTTACATTAATCATTATTATACACTCTTTCCAAACAGGGACAAAACCGAACCGATGTAAATGTTTATATCATTCTTGATTTACATCGATTCCAAATGCGGCCCAAAGGAAATAACCTTAAAATTCCAAATATAAAATAAAAAATAACTTGAACATTTAACAATTCAAAGAGTAACAATAAAAAGTAAAGACTAAATAGTAAAAATTAAAGAGTGTAAACTTTTAACAATGCATAAATAGTCCTAATTAGACTTGACAATCGAGTTAGTGGATTAACCCATGACCCAACCCAACCCAACCCAACCCAGTTTTCTCGAGTTGGGTTGGGTCGGGTCATTCTCAAATTTAGACCCTAACTCTAATTTTTCGGGTTGTGTTCGTGGGTTGGGTCAACTTTTTGGCCAAGTCTAGTTCATAGTATCGATACACCTTTGTGTATCGGCAGAGGTGTATTGGTACCTTGCATTTAATGGTTTTTAGTTTGTTTTAGGTAAATTACCCAGACCCCCTGTACTATGGGGTAAATGACAAATACCCTTGAACTTTAATTTGCAACAAAGACCCCCTGAATTTTTACATTGTGACAAATACCCCCTTGGTTGTTAAATCAGATAATGAGAGGCATTAAATTACCAAAATACCCTACCAAACTTTTTTATTTTCTTTTTCTTGCAATTATCTCTTAAAACCTCATGCTCTCTATTGCTGCCAAGGATGGGGCCGAGGGCAACAAGGTAGCTTCACTTTTGGCCAAGGCTGATGAGTCCAACCTGAGAGTAAGAGGAGAGCACATGTCAAAAGCCCCGGGTGTTATCCCAAGGGCAATGACTCTGATGGTCAAGTTAGTCAAGTGCTTAAGAGGGGTTGGACCAGGCTTGAGACGAGGGTACAAACAAGGTCACTTGAAAGCAGGAAAGCTAGAGAGTAAGAATAAGCAAGATGGATTTACCTTAAGCTGGGCACCCACTTTTATACTTGACCTTGCCATGGAATGGTTAGAGGTAGTTAGAGTTGAATGGCCATGATCTCATTCGGCCAATGCCACGTGGCGCAATCTGGAGCCTTGCCATATGCACCTATATCACTTGCCCCCCCCCTCCACTTTCAAAGCCATAGTGGTCGAGGTCGAGGGTATGTTGAACGGAGACCTCAGCTTCGGCCGAAGAGAGTATTATAATGCTTCCTGGAGGTGTTGTATGGCGCATCAAGCAAAGGCCTAAGCTTGGTTGAAGAGAGCGTCATAAAGAGGCGTGGAGGCATCGGCCTCGGTTTGCTGAGAGCTCCACTTAGTCGTTCTGTGGCAACAACTTCCTTGTTGACTTCGCCTCTTTGGAGAATCATGGTGGGCTGAGAGTGTGGGACCATGCCCGACATGGGTGTGAGGCATCCGTGCTCATCGGTCATGCCCTATATAGGTGTTGTCGTGGATCCATGCATAGGACAACTGTCGGCGTTGATCGATTGTGGTCGTGTGCAAGATGGGTGGTGGGTCGCCCAGTTTAGGTTGCTCTTGACCCAAAGTAGGCGGGCATATCAGCTAGTCTTTTCGACATCATTTTGAATTCCCGAGGTCGATGCCACATGGCACACATCGGTTTGGGATTCTAGATCAACGACTCTACGACCGTTGGATTGAAGCGATATGAGCTGTACATTTTCCTTTAAATAGCGTCGTTGGTTGAGGTAGCTCCCTACCATTTGCTCACTTTCGCTTGTGTTTCCAAAGACCTCGACCACTAACTAGTCGATCCCTTAGTCTCCTTCTTCAGACTCAATTTTCTAGGTAAAGGACTTCTCCCAGAACCATGTCGTACTCAGACTCTGGTCCCGAATGTTATGACCTTCCTAACTTAACTAACACCAGCACTCCTTGTTCCACCTCATCCAGTAGTGAGGATACTGGTAGTGAATCCGAGAGCTCCCCTTGGGTGCCTGGAGTCCAAGTACTAAGGGACAGGACCGACCCTAGAGGCGCCAAGTGCGACTAGCGGGACAGGAAGTCTTTTGATGAAAGTATTGGCTCTATGAGGCCAAGGGGTGATGCCACTAGGAATGCCTTAGTGCATCCCGAAGTGGTGGAGCCGGAGGAAGCTGAGGACCCGACTCTTGAGGAGATAGTCGAGGCCGAAGGCCAAGGTGTGACGCTAATGCGTTATCCGCGCTCTGACCTGGACAGTGAACTCAGTAAGGGGCAAGTGAAGGCTCTTGCCGAGATGTACCATATTCATGGGGGTAATAGGAGTAGAATCCCCAGCGTCCGCGACAAGCCGTGGCAGCCAACTGAGGGGGATGTGTGTGTGCACGAGCACAACCTCCACTTCGGCCTCCGAGATCCTTAACTACTATAACATCTCCCCCAGTTAGTTAGCTTCGAACTCCGTTAGCACCAT